TGTTCATCAATGGCCACGTGCGGAACGGTCTCCTCGGCCTCAGTAGCCGGCCGCGAAGTAGAAGGAGCTTCCTTCTAGGGAACGGTTTTGGAAGTCTTTGGCATTTCTTTAGAAAATGGAGGAAAATTTGAGAAAGGTGAATAAAAAAAGGAAGTTGAAGGATTAGACTTGTTGGCTAGAGATGAAGATGGGTAAAAATTCTTGCAAAGGACCTCGAATAACCGGGGTAAAAGTGCTAAAGAGTATTGAAATCTTAAAGGAACGAGGGTAGAAGGTTTGGATGTAAAGTTAAAATGAAAAAAAAGAGGGGCTATTTATAGTAGTTCAGCGATGTTTCGCATCCAGGGACGGCCGACCGGCAGCTGACATGCATTTAATGTCATTATGACTTGACTAACGAGACGTTTCGGTTGTTTTGTCGTTTCTGTCACGGTGTATCGAACTAAGAATCAGAAGCTCATATCGTTTCTCGTCGTTTACTCTCTGAAAAATGAGGGGACTATCTGTATACGGGTGAAATCGAGCTCATGGTACATCCTAGCCTCCGACAAAATAAGCCAGGCTCGAGACATGGCAACAAGGGACCGAAATCGAGCTAAAGTCCCACCGGGCCAGAACCTGGGGGCATGATGCCTGCCTTCGAGAATATCGAGGCCATGATCCCGGAATCGGTCCTAGCCTCGAATGACTTCGAAGAACATTGTCAGACAATCCAGCATAGTCAACAGAAGGCCGAAATATCCGTGACCGGCCGAATATTATGGCGGGGATCTCGGCACATATCGATAAGGATCCGGCAAACAGAGAATCAGAATATTTTTTACCTTTTATAGAGTTGTACCTAAAATATGACTCCCCTACTATATAAATGGGGTCTGATAATTCATGAAATACATTGTAACATACAGCCAAAAGTAATATACTATTAATTTCTCTCTCTCTAGCTCTTGCTCTTTTTCATCTGTACCGGTCGTGGTGAGCCCGGCTCGAGAGTGACTATTTCACTAAGGCTGAAACTATCCAACTAGTGTGGTTTGAATTTATTTTATCCATATTTGTTCAATAGTAACTTAATTTATCGCTTTGTATCAAGTTAATTTGTGTATCCTTAAAATCATTTACAAATTTAATTATTATTCGATTTTATAGGTAAACAATGACAATGACTTAAGAGCTTAGGAATTCAATAGAGAATCATTTGTGTCATGGGATCAAGATTTAGACAATTAGATTTGACGCAAGGTCCAATGATTTGAGTAAATTTATTGTTTTCACTGAGTGTTACGATCGAAACAAAGAATTATTTGCAATATGCATTGATTTGGTAAAACAGTCGTTAGAAGTTTTTTTCTAACTTGACTTGTATTAAGTAAATTTAATTGGTGAAGCATGAAAGCACTCTTGTAGTCCGTTCTATCCCTAAACCCTGCGCATAGCGGGAGTTTAGTGCACTGGACTACTGCTCCTGCTGGGTAAATGAAACGGGCCGCCCACAAACTTTAAACAACAATTCTTTCTAAAGCCCTAATCCCATATGGGAGACTGAAAGATTATGGAGATGAATTGAAAATAGCTATTGATTTGTTGGGGAGTACAGTTTCTCAACATATCCATATCTGTATTTTGTAACCTAATCAGTAGCATTGTGGTATGTACCTAGTTCCATGTACTGCACTTTTAATTTTGATTCCCATGATTAAATGTTTTACTTGTAATGTCACAATTTATCTAAACTTGAGTAGTTGAAGTGTGAGGCTACCAAACCATTTCATTAATTGGAATAAACTTTATAACACGACGTTCATCCTTTTAACAAATTTGTGTAAAGCTTCTGTTCAAGGCACTTTGAATTATCCTGGTCAAAGAGATAAAGCTATCCAATAATAATATCACAATATGCTTTCTTGTCTTTTCATTTATTTTCTTCTGTAACCTAGTGCTAGTATGAGTAACTTTTGTTACATCTGTTTTTCCATTCTCATTTTCTTACGTCTCTATGGGAGTTTCTAAACCGCAGGCCGGCTCAACAATAAAGCCAAACCTTGATGAGAGGTCCTAAATATTTAAGAAAATTGTATATAGTTTTATTTGAAATCTATTTTCCTAACTTTTGGAGATGTTAAGTTATTAATTAGTTTTATGTAGTTGATTTTTCTGATAATGTTTTTCAATATATATCCATTTAATTTCTCTTGAGACATTATTGATCACATGTAAGATTTTATCAAATTTTAATTTTGAAAAATTTCTTTTCGCATATGCAACGGTTACAGGAATTGAGGACATTATTCCTTAAGCAATATAGACATTTGAAAAAGAATCAAGCGTTCTTATTTGATTGAGTATATCGATTGAAATTTTATCTTCTACTAGTTTGTTTCCCTTAACACTACTAGAAATTCGGCAAAAATCGACCGCGATTTACCGTCCAATTTTGGTCGGTCAAAAACTGGCCAAAAAATCGACCAAAGTCGGTCGTTTTTTCGAAATATTTTTTTTTTACGAAACCGACCAACTTTGGTCGGTTTTCTTTGGCGCAAAAATACGGGAAACTATTTTTGAGTCCCGTGAAATATATTTTTTAAGAAACCGACCAACTTTGGTCGGTTTTCTTTGGCGCAAAAATACGGGAAACTATTTTTGAGTCCCGTGAAATATATTTTTTAAGAAACCGACCAACTTTGGTCGGTTTTCTTTGGCGCAAAAATACGGGAAACTATTTTTGAGTCCCGTGAAATATATTTTTTAAGAAACCGACCAACTTTGGTCAGTTTTTTATTTAAAATAAATTAAAATTAATATTAAAAAACCGACCCCAATCGGTCGGTTAATTCGGCCGGTCATTTTAAAAAACCGATCGAATTCGGTAGGTAATTTTATTTTTTAATAAAATCGATCGATATTGGTCGGTTATTTTTGTACGAAAATACAATTAAAGAGTGTAAATGAAATAAAAGACAGACTTAAAATAAAATGCACCAATGGTCTAGTGGTAGAATAGTATCATGCCACAGTACAGACCCCGATTCGATTCCCATATGGTATATTTTTTAATTACATAATTAAAATACCGACCAACTTTGGTCCTTTTTTTGGCATTTATTTTTTTGAATTTAATTGACTGACCAAGGTCGGTCGGTAATTTCCGACCAACTTTGATCGGTATGTCCTTCCGACCTTCAAAATACCGACCACACGTTAATGGTCGCGTTTTGGGCAGTTATTGGCCATTACCGACCTACTTTGGTTGGTTTTTTTAGACGGTTTTTGTCGAATTTCTAGTAGTAACATGTTTAATTCCGAAGATAAGTCTAAACCATATATATGTTTTCAAGAACTTTCGAGATTAATTCGAAGTGACTATTATATGTTTAAAGGAACTTTCGAGATTAAGGTGATGTTTTTTTCCTCTCCAGATTTTCATCACATAGTGATGCTTCAAACTATTCAAATCTATTTTGAAGTTTTCTTTTCCTTAGCTTGTTTTATTAAAAAACTATACTTTTTACTTTAAATACTCAATTTTCTTAAAGAATAGTTGATTCAATAAACTTACTATCAATGAGAAATGAAAGGTAAATGGGCTAGCCAGTTTTAGGACTGGTAATTCAAAAATAGCCATCATTTGTAAAGTCATTGAAAAATAGTCACTATTTTGCTGCAACACGGACCGGTCCAGCATAATATACTAGAGATTGGTGCACCTGTGTATGAATTTTCAGCATATTATACTGGAACTCCAACATGCGGAAAGTTCCAGCGTAATATATTGGAGATTGGAGTACATGTGTATGAACTTCCAGCATATTATGTCGGACCGGTATATTATACTAGAACTCCAGTATATTATGCTGGAATATTTTCCGGATTTTGAACAATGTTTTCGTTCAAATTTATCTTTACATGAAAAGTGACTAAATTTCGATTACTTTTGAAACTGCGGCTATTTTTCAATTACCACTTGTAAATCTAGCTAATTTTGAATTTCTTCCAAATGAAAGCCCCAAAATTTGGCGGCCTAAAGGCGTTGCTTTACGTACCTTACCCAAGAGTCGGCAGTGCTAAAGTGTTGAGTAAATTGTCCATAAAAAAGAGTTTACTATAAACTTTATTTATTTAACTAGTTGGTGTTCGAAATTTGTGGATTCGACTAATTTAAATTTAAGCATATAGGCTCACTAAGGTGGTAAATCTCTATCTATCGAATTGTTCTTCATTTTTAATATTCAAACTCATAACTTTTTATTAAAGAGGAAGGATTTGGAGCACCCCACCCCACCTACTCCATGATTCAACTTCCTTGTTAGGGGATAGATAGGAAAGGTAAATACTCCTAAAGAGTGACAGAAGTGCATAGAATAGAATATTGCAGTCTTATTTATTTTTCTTTCAGAGTTGGAGAAAATGGAGGGGGTGAACTATCCAAGGTGAAGACATTAATTATTTATTTAACATAGATATATTAGTAAACTTGATTGCGTTGTCCATATTTTCAACTTAATATAAGAATTAAAACTTACGACACTTGCCAAATTTGAGTAAAATTGAACCAATAAGAATACGTATTCCAAAGCTAGAGAGGCTGACTTGTGTGCATACTTTCAAAACATTAATCAGTAACTGTTTTCAGCTAGTAATTACGCACAGACTTGAATTTGCAAGGTTCAACTTGAAAACACGTCTTAAAATTTGCGCGCAAAACACATATAACAATCAAAGTTTTGGTATGAATCAACATCTTTTACACCGAAAATTAATGCATCTATAAACAAGTACATGTATGGTTTGTGTATAATTATTTCTAAACAAATAAAACTTTCTTGCTTTCCAACTAAATTATCGTGAACAGAATATCATCACTTAAACATGGTAGAATTTAAAATAGATTTACTAATTATCTAGCTACATGGAGCNGGGGGAGGGGCGGGGGTGTATGGCTTAATTTCCTCCCTCTATATAAATCCTACAAAATTTCATGCACATTCCAAAAACATCAACTCCCCAATTGCTAACAAAACATAACAACTAAAGTCATCTTCCTTTTAGCTCGGTTGAGTAGCTTATTCGGACGTCGTGAACTCATTTCTGCCTTTGCAATACCAGCGCACCAACTAAATCCTAAAAATACTCCCAAGAAAATGGCAAAATCTAGCTCTAGCTTGAAAGCTAAGACCTTAAATGGCATTGGCAATCTCATTAGAGTTCTCCCAACAGGAACAGTCTTCATCTACCAATTCCTAAACCCTATTCTCACAAACAATGGCCATTGCACTATTGTCAACAAATACCTCTCTGGCATCCTAATTGCCCTTTGTGGCTTCTCTTGTGCATTTTCTTGCTTCACCGATAGCTACACCGATAACGACGGCGCCACTCATTATGGCATAGCCACAATGAAGGGACTCTGGCCAACAACTTCAGCAGTTGATACAACAACTTATAAAATTAGCGTTGGTGACTTTGTTCATGCATTTTTTACTATGGTTGTTTTTGGGGTTGTGACTGTTTTGGATAGGAACACTGTGGATTGCTTCTTTCCATCGTTCGAATCAACGCAGAAAATGTTGCTAATGGTGTTGCCACCAGCAGTTGGTGCCATTTCTAGTGTTGTGTTTATGGTGTTTCCTAATAAACGTCATGGTATAGGGTACCCTAGTCAAGATGAATCAAGCTCAAAGTAAAAAAAAAGTTTATATTATTGGCTTAAAAATATTTTGTATTGATGATTTGATTGAGTGGTGTGCTATATATTGAGAAATGTTTTTTCTTTTTTTGGTCTTTTTTTTTTCCTCAAATCAAGTGAATTATTCTTTGAATTTGGTGAAATAAGGTGTATATATGATGTAAATCAAGAAATGAATATTTGGGTTTTACTTTGTGGGATATATACAATGAGTTTGTGATTTTTCAAGTATTGGATTCTTAGTTTACTTTGTATGTCTAATCGAGCAAACACCCTATGAATATATTTAATTACCACTATTTCATGCATGCCTTTTGGAATTGTTATAATAGCTTTGATATTCTTTTCTCTAAGCAAGTTTGATGAGTTTTTCTTGAGTAACTTTGATGATTCAATTGAGAAATTTAACCTAAAAACAAATATTATGATGTTTAAACATCAATAACTCGAACAAGAACTTGATGAGTGAAATAACCAATTACGTACGTCGACTTTATGAGTTTTTGAAACAAACAAACAAAAAAGAATCAAATATTTAGACACATATAGGAGGTAATGGTTGTTAATCTTGTTATAATTTGTATATATAGATCACCATGTCTACTAGTATCTTAAAACACAAAAAACGAACTCCTTTAATTTGACGTATATAGTTTTTCCCAAGGAACATGACCAAAACTTTATCACGTTTGCTCTTAAAAACTTCTCAATATAATATATATCATGTTCTTATATTATATAATTTTTTATATCAGATTGAAATAAATTTAGATTTTAACACAGTTATAATTAATATATGTTATGTGATCGTAAATATATCTCCACATATATTTCCAAAATCTGTAGTGAACGTCCTCAAATAACAAACTCTGTTAGAAAAATTTATTACCCTCCCCAGACCCTATTAGTGAAATTTTACTGGGTTGTTGTTGTTATTGTTGTTGTTAGAAAAATTTATGAGGGAAACACGAAATTTGAAATCGTTTTAAAATCAGATCGTCCCTGCATTCCAGCAGCTTCAAAAAGAATTTTGCAGCAGTGATATTAAATTTCTTTAGGAGTACTATATTGATACAGAAAATTAAAAAGAAAAAACAATGGGAAATGAGAGATAGAGATAGCTGGAAGCAAGAGGAAGCTATTGCTTTGCTTCCCCGTAATTCAAAATAATTAAAATGACATAATATCATGACATAGTGGATACCGTTCGAAAGCTTAAAAAGGAAAAGCATGTTTCTTGAGAACTACTAATACTCATAGATTTAATGTATTTCTAGTGGTTGAAAATATATTTATGCCTAACAATTTTCTGACTTTAATTAGTTATAAGATTTTGTAGCGTCACATCACATCCTTAGTTCTTTAACTAAGTACACGTGCAGCACTTGATAATTTGCTCACGATCTTGCACAATTTGCTCACGTTCTTAAATTGTGATCATGTCGAGGTGGACCAGAATATGGCTCGTATCGATTCCTCGAACTTCTCCGGTCGGATTCACATCTCCTCGGAGTTCCTTGTGTTCGTTTATTGAACCCGCTTCCAACTCTTGATTCAACCACAATATCTTCCTCTATTCGAAGTTTTGTACTAAACCTGTTGTAAATATTGTTCCGCGTGGTTGGAGGAAATTCTCGAAGACTTTCTTTTAACTTTCTCGTTCCTTCGAGATTCTTTTGTTCAAGTTCTTTACGAAAGCTATTACTGCCCAATTATCAGAGACGGGAGGCAAGAGCATCTTTTTTCTTTTGAACCGATCCACGAACTCTCTAAGCAATTTGTACTTCCTGATGTATTTTAAAGATGTCTTTTATTCATTTTTCTACTTTTAGTGCTCCGGAATGGGCTTTAATGAAGGCATCTGCAAGTTTCGCAAATGAATTAATTAAACTTTTGGGAAGATGAGAGTACCAAATTAGCGCTCGTTTAGTGAGAGTTTCTCTAAATTTCTTCACTGTTAGGATTTCTTCACTCTTCATATATAAGGTTCAATTTTTTCCACATGCCTTTGGCTGTGGTTTCTACAGAAACTTCACGTAAAACCTCATTTGAGAGATTTAAGATGATACCTGATTTTGCCTTTTTATCTATGATGGCAAACTCCTCGTCCGTCATTTTATCCGGCTTCTTCTCCTTTCCTTTCAATGCCAAGTCTAAGCCATCCTGAATTAGGATAGCTTCCATCTTTAATTGCCACATTCTGAAGTTTGCACTTTGGTCAAATTTTTCAGTATAAGTCTTTGTTAGAGTCATTTTGGCTATTGAAACTAACCCGGTTAGATCCGGCTCTGATACCAATTTGTTAGGATCGAGAACCCGGGTAGTACGTAATTTAGCCAAACAACAGTATAATGACAATAACAAAGACAATGGAAGTTGATAACAACGGCAATTAAAGCAGATAAAGAAGACACCGATTTAACGTAGTTTGGTCAGTGTGACCTACGTCCACAAGCGGAGAGGATCAATTTCACTATAGCAATAAGAGTACAAAAGAGAGTACAAAATTAGAGTAAACACTCTAATTAATTCCAAATACCCTAAGAGAATAACCTCACAAGATCACTCCAAAAAAAGGGTTCACACAAGTGCTTCCCAATATTAACTCTCATACAAAACACTCTTAATAAAGGAGGAAAGGAAGAAACAAGAAATGAAGACTCAAGTCTTGTTGGTGTGTCTAGAATGAACTAATGGCCTTCCCTTTTTATAGGCAAAAACGTTTTGGCCTCTTAGGTGTAAAAGAAGAGATACAACTTGTACAAATGATGTCTATCATACAATATAATATTTTTGGGTCCCAAAGAATATTGCCAACAAAGTCTACACTTTGCAAAGATGTTTATACTTATGTGAGAGATGGACTCCATTAGTCAAAATATTAGCCATATTACAAATCTCCACCTTGGCCTAATTTTGGCTGAAATAGTAAATTTGCTCCATCCTCTCTGCAAAAGCCCCAATGGGCATATGTCAAAATTTAATGCTATCAAAATCAGACAAGTTGGGCCTATAACAGTGGATCCCAATAAAGTATGCAACGAACCATATATGTGTGCTTTCATGATCACAAGAGCACCATGAGAAACTTTCAAAACTCCACATTCACCTGCGTACTTACACCCAAGAGATTCTAGAGTGCCCAAAGAGATGAGATTTTTCTTTAAGTCAAGAACATGTCTAACATCGGTGAGAATTCTCACTACACCATCGTGCATTTTGATTCGGACTGTACCTTTTTCAAAAACTTTGCAGGCAGCATTGTTTCCCATCAAGACAACTCCACCTCCAGTTGATTCATATGTGATAAATAAACCCCGATTGGAACACATATGATAAGAACAATCCGAATCTAAAATCCACTCATTGTTAGATTTGAAACTATTATTAGTTGCTATAAAAATAGTTCCCTCAGTCTCATCAGCAGCTATACTTGCTTCGGCAGTGTCAATATTTTTGTGCTCATTTTTTCTTTCCTTATACTTTTCTTTATTTTTCAGCTTATAGTATTCGGAGATAATGTGACATTTCTTATGACAATAGCGACACTCTAAATTATTGTATCTGGATATGGAGTCGGATTTGCCGCTAACAAATAAGCCAACTTTCGCTTGAGTTCCACTAGCTTCCCAAGTAATATCACTATCTATCTGTTCTTTTGATTTTAAGATAGATTTAATATCCTTATAAGAGATATTATCCTTTGCATAAAGCATAGTATCTCTTATATGCTTAAAAGATGGGGGTAGAGAACAAAGCAGTAACACGGCTTGATCTTCATCTTTAATTTCAGCATCTATATTACTCAAATCCATAAGAATGGAATCAAAGGTGTCAAGATGAGAGAGAATAGAGGTACCTTCACTCATACGAATTGTATAAAGCTTCTACTTCAGGTAAAGTCTATTTTTCACCGTCCTTTTCATATATAAGGTTTTCGATTTTTCCCACATGCCTTTGGCTGTGGTTTCTACAGAAACTTCACGTAAAACCTCACTTGAGAGATTTAAGATGATACCTGATTTTGCCTTTTTATCTATGATGGCAAACTCCTCGTCCGTCATTTTATCCGGCTTCTTCTACTTTCCTTTCAACGCCAAGTCTAAGCCATCCTGAATTAGGATAGCTTCCATCTTTAATTGCCACATTCCGAAGTTTGCACTTCGGTCAAATTTCTCAACATAAGTCTTTATTAGAGTTATTTTGGCTATTGAAACTAACCCAGGTAAATCCGGCTTTGATTGCAATTTGTTAGGATCGAGAACTCGGGTAGTGCGTAATTTAGCCAAACAACAGTATAATGACAATAACAAAGACAATGAAAGTTGATAACAACAGTAATTAAAGTAGATAAAGAAAATACCGATTTAACGTGGTTCGGTCAATGTGACCTACGTCCACAAGAGGAGAGGAATAATTTCACTATAACAATAAGAGTATAAAAGAGAGTACAAAATTAGAGTAAATACTCTAATTAATCCCAAATACCCTAAGAGAATAACCTCACAAGATCACTCCAAAGAAAGGGTTCACACAAGTGCTTCCCAACACTAACTCTCATACAAAACACTCTTAATAAAGGAGGAAATGAAGAAACAAAAAATGAAGACTCAAGTTTTGCTGGTGTGTCTAAAATGAACTAATGGTCTTCCCTTTTATAGGCAAAAAAGTCTTGGCCTCTTAGGTGTAAAAGAAGAGATATAACTTGTGCAAATGATGTCCACCATACAATGTAATATTTTTGGGTCCTAAAGAATATTGCCAACAAAGTCTACACTTTGCAAAGATATTTATGTTTATGTGAGATGGACTCCATTAGCCAAAATATTGGTCATATTACATTCACCAACACCGACTCGATTTTATGTTTAGTCAAGTCATTGTCTTCCACTCCCATGGTGAATGCTATTATGTGATCTTTTGGATCTGAAGTACCATCGTATTTGGAAATATCAACGCATCTTAAATTTTTTCAAAATTGGTATAGGCGTTGTATTAGGTTTCCAAGGCTGCTGAGAATACTTGTCCATATTTATGCCTTTGACTTGGAGCAGAACACTTGGAATTTGTTATATTCGTTTGTTTTGTTCCTTGATCTATTTCTGCAAGGTTAGAACTAAATTCTAAAAAATTGAATTAGGGGGAATACCTGAACCTCCTGCTCCGAAACTATTTGAGAACCCCCTAATTTTGGAGTTTTCAGGTCTCGAGTTGGGATTTTTAACGACTAT